CAGGACTTCCACATTCGTCGAAGATAGAGTGGACCTGGCACTGCCATAATGATGGCATGGCGAGGACTCACTAGGACTTCGCAGGATGCTGCATGGTTGACCTCCATTTCGGTCCCACCCACACGAGAAGCAGGTCAAGACAAATGGTCAAGACAGATTCATCATTCGTGATCTTCGAATGTGATCCGCTGTGCCCCCTGGGTTGAGTAGTGGCCAAGTTAAGAAGCAAATGCCCTCCAATTCGTTTGTATAGTGAGCGTAATAATGTCAGCAGTTTGCTAAAACTGCAGTTCATGACCACCACAAAACTATGTGATGTATCGAAAGTCTCACTGCAAACTCAAAATCGAGAATTGCATCGAATTTGGAGCCTTGCGAGCATTTGTCAGTCTCATGAATTATAACTCGCGAATGCTGTTCATATGAAGCAATACTCAACGTGGACCAGTGAGACGGTGATCTTTATTCAAGTGGTAAATAAATATTTGACATTCTCTATGCACAAAAGTTCCTACTTGTCGCCTTATCAAAAGGAAGAAGTCGTTGAAGATTGCCAAGTCACGAAGGAAAGAAGTTCTTATTTATTCATCCAGTCACAAGAGAGGAGCACCACAAGAATAATGAAGTCACAAAGGTAGACAACTCAAGAACAGAATGAATCACGAAACTCTTCAGGGGGTGAATCCTAATGTGTGCGACCATATATATGAATGACGAATTAGAGAGAGAAAAAAAATCATGAGGAATCATCAAACCCTTGTCCACAAGTGTAATTCGTAGTGGCTTACTACAACTCGATGGATGAAGAGAAAGGAAGGAAGATTTGTTGTGAACGATAATGATTATGTTTTTCTTGTCCTTTCATTGAATTTTAGTGTGGTGGCACATTGCGGCTACTGTGTAAAATATGTTCAAGTGTTTCATAGTGTAGCCCTTGACATGGAAATATCTTAATTCAAGATAGTTGACTATACTAACTTTGTGGAATGAGTGTTATATAAGAACTTTCAGTACTTACACGAAGATGAATTTATGGGTTTGAACTCCAAAATGAAATGACTCAGAAGATCAAGTTTCATATAATATCACATCCTCACTCTAGCCTTTTGGAACTTTTGTGCATCTTTCAAAATATTTTGAAATACTCTGCATGGTCTAACTTTCAGTTATTAACTCTGAATAAATATAATAGATTCAAAGACGCATTACCACAATAGATTGCAATCCATCTAACCGCATATAGTCTTGATTCTAAAATGTGTTAGTTTTGGTAGTGAGCTATCCAACCATATTTCCAAGTCTAAAAGGTTTTCCACCAAACTATTGAAAACAATGTCAAAACTATTGAAAACCGTACAATATTTTATATGGCAAAATCTTTACCGTATAGAAATTCTCGGAGAACGTGGTGAAGAAATCACCATGAGGGTGCATCAGCAATCCGATCAGGAGAAGGACATTGTCTTCGCCGTGGTGGAAGAACGACTTGGCCAACGGGTCCGAGACTCCAAGTTCTTTGGAGTTGTCTGCACAGGATGCGCAAGAGTGTACATAGTCGTATCACAGCTGACTGACTTGATTCAGCTTGACCACTCAACGGTCCACTGGCTTCTTCACGCGTCGAGAGGGGACAGTGTTTTCTAGAACGCTCTTGGTCCACACAGTATAGAGTCTGTGTGGATCATGTTCCGTAACAGGTAACACGCACAAGTGTCTGCTTCTTTGGTTCACTCAGACACAAATCTTACTTGTGTAAATGCGGCCAGATCAGATGCATTTTTCCTATTTACAGATCTGATCCGAGTTCTCAATTCCCTCTCTAGCAAAAGGCGTACGTGCATTGATCTCGTCGAACGCTATCTTAATGAAGCTACTGCAGGGTATCATAGCAGCTTTAACTATACTACAGAGTTAAACTTACCAATAGTGACTTCCATTGGTACTAGGATTTTATGTTAATATTGGGAAGTGTAAAGTAAAGTAAAGTCCCTTAACCCTAGAGTAAAGTCCATAACCTTGAGTATAACCTCTTAATAATCACAAATATTGTTGGTAGAGATAGATGTCAGTATTGGGAGGTGCTAAATTTGAATATAGTCTCCTAATAATAACATACATTGCAATTAGGTTCAGATGTCATTATTGGAATATGTCATTTATAACAAAAACTCACACATTTCTTATTGTAAATTTATATCAATACTAGGATATTCTATAAATGTATCGTTTGGTTTCAAAATCGTTTTCATTTGTACATCTATAATGTTCACAATTATTACTGTAAGCATTATAATTGTGTTTGAATTCAGATCAATATACAAATATCTGAGTGAAACGATTGATGATAACATATGTAGTGAAATAATAATTATTGAAACCCAAAAAGAGTGAATTGTTGAGATAGATCTTGAAATAAAAATATGACACTTTTTCTTTTCTCACAGCTATGTAGTGTGATCATGGTAGAAATTCTAATTCCAAAATTACACTTGAAACTATCACTATTGCATAGTATCATGTCACTATTGACAATAATGACATGATACAAAATTCCAAAATGATTAGTCTTTAACTTGTAAATCAAAAACAGTATGTCACTATTGACAATAGTAATGTACTGTTCTTGATTTATAAATTAGAAACTAATCATTATGGAATCATATGTCACTAATGATGTCACTCATAAGAGGTGACACTGTTGGGAAATTCAACTCTATGTTCTGTCAGGGCTCATGGGGGAGATAATGTAGCCACCACAAGGATGCCGGAAACCTTGAGACGTCACCGACGTCCAAGGTTTCTCCCACTGACGTGACGTCAGTGGGAGTAACTGCCAGTTGCAAAATACTTAGTGTCTATCTCAATTTAGCAGTAGCCCAACCGAAGAAGAGATAGTGAGAAGTAATTCCAAAAGTGGGCATTTCTCTAATTTTTTTGCACCCGTAGTCTTGTTTCCAGTTTCACGTGAGAAATAGTGGGAGTTTCCATTGATAAATTTGGTGCTTTGCTATAATGGAAAGCCGCATAAATGCAGTATTATCTTTCAAATTATACTTCGTTTGTGACTAAAAGTAATGCTGAGTGACTGTGACATGTCAGGGTTGATAATATATCTAAGATGTATAGAAAAAATCACGTGGCAAGAGATCAGGGGTCAAGAGATTGTTTATAACATCGAGGAGTATTCAGCATTGGAGATCTTCGTTTTGTAATGTGAACTTCAATAATTGTTGTCGGCGGAAATTGTTGGTCATAATTAATTGAAACTCAAAGAAGAAATCTGCCAGACCAATGGGTTGTTGTCGAAGGGAAACACCCATGGGCTATTCAATCACATGTCTTCTTAGACATGTGATTCGAGCACGCGCCAACCACACTTCCTACATCTATGTAAGATTCAGATAAAATATTCAATTTTTGAATCTAGGAAAGAAACTACAAAGCATCCTTGTTCTTTGAGGAGATACTAGACTAGCATGTTAGGATCAAGAGGACAACAATATTTCTGCACAGAAATGAGCTTATTTTTCTCTTTACATAGAGAAATATGTGAATGTGTGACATTCAAGTGTTTGTCTGGTGCCGGAAAATATTCTGTTACCATCATGGTATTACGAGAATTTCAATACTCAAGTGGAACTACTTATATTAATAGATATTCGCAGGGTGCGAAAGGTATCTGGTGAGGACTTCAAAATGCCGCAAGTAGAAGATTATATATTTATTTATTTTTCAAAAAACTGGGGGATGTTTACAGCTGACATACAAAACCTCCCAACATTTGTGATTTTGAATTACTGATTGCCCAAACAAGAACCAAAAAATGACGATAACATTTTTTCAATTTCGTCACAATGAAAATCTAGCCGATCGTAAATATGAGCAATCAAAGAAACCACACGTAAGTGGTGTTTGGAAGCTAAAACATATTTGACATTCCAACTAAAAATTCCAACTATTTCTGAATATTTCCAAATTTCTAAAAATTTTCTCCATTGCTTTCTCATAATTCTCGAAACAGGTTAAGATTATCTTGCTGAAATGTTGCTAGTGCCGATTGCATATGTTAGGCCAGCAGGAAGTTCATCTGAGAGCTTCAGTATGACTGCACTGCATTGCCTGTATACATCGTGTAGCTTCGATTATGCACGATCAAGTAAGTATGGTCTTACGCATATAAGGACAGATAAGTTTCATACTGACAATGGACAGGGACTCCCGTTGTCTCCAACATGCAATCCCTTTCACTGTAACAGGTTCACTCTGTTCGAATTCAGGTTATTATTACTGACATTACCTAATTTAATTATAACATAAGTAATTCATTACCATTTGTTGAGATTATTTGACATATTGCTTATGGTATGAAGTTTATTATGACAATGTATAGTTGAAAATTTTGATATCATGAGCTTCAGTATGACTGCACTGCATTGCCTGTATACATCGTGTGGCTTTGATTATGCACGATCAAGTAAGTATGGTCTTACGCATATAAGGACAGATAAGTTTCATACTGACAATGGACAGGGACTCCCGTTGTGTCCAACATGCAATCCCTTTCACTCTGTTCTCATTCAGGTTCCAGTTATTAAGGCAGATTATAAGTTTTTCTACCCTGGAAGAGAATGTCTGTCCGCAGGGAACTGTGGAAGCATGTTCATTTACATGAAGTCAGGACTCTGAGACTGTCGAAAGAAGGGATGCTTACGCGGATGCTTGCACTCCGGGCAATAAGCATAATAAGTGCCTTGCTTGTCGTGTTCGTGAGGTGCGATCAAGTCAATGGCCCAAGGCACGCATGTCTGCCGACTCGGGCCCAGCCAATTTGGCATATGACCTGCTCCAGCCTCGAAGCCTCGTCCTCGAACAGGGTGCAGTAGTCAAAGAGCCTGCGCATCTTGGCAATGGGCCCCACATTCTGTTCTCGTTGGCCACATGAATCAGTAGAGCGAGCAAAGGTCGAGAAGAGAGAGCATCCCCATCCCCGTACCAAACACCAAAAAGCGCTCGAGAATATCTGTCCGTAATCGCTCGGCGGCTGTCGGCAGTAGTTATACATCGGATCAGGCCGCGAGATGCGTGACTTCGAGCCGCAGTCAGTGGTGAGGGTGATCGGGACGATTGGGAGTGCGTAGGGAGGAGACTGCAGATCGAGAATGGAATTCGGAGTCTGAGAATGGTCGGCTGGGATGATGATCAGACATTGAAATCACTGAAGTCTCTCTCAGCGGTCTCGCTTCTCTCCGACTGCCCACAATCGCCGAGGCTGAGCTGCTCTGAGCATGATGGGATGGTTTTGCAAGGCAACCAGGGAAGCCAAAAGGGAAATTAAAACTAAGGGATCATCGAACACAAACGTCAGAAGGTGGTTCTGTCTGCCATTCGGTACTGGAAGAAGTTCGAATTCTCGAATTTGGCATGATCCTAGCGGTACTTGTCACAAATCCTTTCTCATCCACATTCTACCTTCCTTCGTTTCGTCTGAACTTTCTCTGATTGACTCGTGGACGATTAAGCCCTTCAAAGCTCGGTACGAGAGTCTGTGGGCTCGTGCTCAGCAGTTCTCACCGGGGTGAGCTGAGAAATCGCTTTACGTATTATAAATGGCATTCATAGGTTTCTTGATCGAACCCGACCTGAATCAGTCTGTCGAGGTCGTATCAGTACTCAATGTTTATTGTTCATTATCCCGCGCCTTGCAGTCAGTTCGTCCCCGCACTTGAGGCCGATTCGACAATTTTCGTTGGCAGAGCTGAAGCGTGCCACCCACAATTTCAACAACATCCTGGCCGACGACAATGACAATTTCACGGTAGGCGTCCAAGACCTCGGTTTGTTGTGTCAGGTTTTAGAAGTACTTTCTGATGCTCATTGAAATGTTCATTTTTCACCGGAGTGTGTGTTGCATTCTTGTGCAGACCGTGTCGAACTGGAATGGTGGAAATTGTTGCACATTTTGGTGAACTGACTGACTGAACTGGCAGAACGCTGAACCCGAATTTGTGCTTCCTTCTACAGATCTACCGAGCTCAGCTGCCGCACATGGAATTTGTGCGAGTGCGGAGGACCAACCTTGAAAACAGAGGCACTCTGGAACAATTCCTCAGTGAGCTGAAAGTTCTGTCGAGTGTGCATCATCGCAACCTTGTGAGCCTCGTCGGGTTCTGTCAGGAAGGAGGGGAACATCTACTGGTGTACGAGCACGTGGAAGGAACTCTGAGCGAGTATCTTCATGGTACGCAACCCCATCCTTCCTTTCGGGTGCATTTGACGCGCCCTGGACTTTTCAGTCAGTCCAGGACAGCCTTCGCCATCGTGAAGATATGTCACAAGCCTTCATCCAGCCTTTCAGTTCCTTCTGATCTGAATCTGATTCCTGGTCGAGAATTATAACGAAAATTTCGTGCTGTTCAGACCCACATCACCCAGGCAATCCGCTCTCTTGGACCAAACGACTGGACATTGCCCTCGGCGTTGCCAGAGGGCTGTCACATCTGCACGCACATGGGGACCCGCCCATCGTGCACAGGAATATGAAGAGCAGCAGTATTTTGCTCAACTGCAAACTCGTGCCCAAGGTATCGGAGGTCGGCTTATCCAGACAAATGACGGAAGGCACAGAGCAAACAAGAGAAACCCAGGTCCGAATCAAATGGTTTCTGCATTCCGTCTCTCTTCGAACGTGAAATAGAGCGGAGAAGACAGAATTGAATGCACAGCTTCGTCAGGGTGTTCCAGTGAGTAGATTCAATCTGAGAGTTCCCCTCAATTTTTGTCGTTTTTTCTGCAGGGATATCTTCCTCCGGAACACTATGCGACGGGCACGTGTTCAGACAAGTCGGACGTCTATGCATTTGGAGTCGTGCTTTTGGAGATTCTGACGGGGATGAAATCGTTCGATCGAGAGCGATTTCAACATCGCCAGAAAGTGCTGCTGGTCGATTTGGTAAGGAGCGCATACAACCAGAGGGGATGGCGAACGGTGCGCAGGAAAGTCGATCCTCACATCCGCAACGACGCTTACGATTCATCTCAAAAGCGTTTCCTGCAGATTGCCATGGACTGCTTGGAGGAGGACCGAGTCAAGCGTCCGACGATGCGAGATGTCACCAACAGGTTGGAAGAGCTGGTGCAAAGGCGCCCATCTGATCCCTAGTCTCGACCGCCGTCGTTTAAAACCACCTTGTGGGATGCTTCGACTGATGTTCTCCGGGGAAAGCAATGAAATAGGACATGCATCCGTGCAGTGAGCTGTGGTTGCAGCATTCCTTGCGACTGAGATTTGTCATTTCTTTGCTTTCTGTCGTAGTCATCCAATTTTCATGGCAGACTGTTTTCAGGAATAGATATGTGAGGTAGACAACAGGGGTTCTCTCGAGCACCCGAGCTGACCTGTCGTCTGTATGCAAAGCAGATTTCAATAAAGTTGGGATTTGAACTTGTACAGGATATCTTGAGTTTTGATAGTCAACGCTTACGCTATGAGAGTGTGTGTGTGAGAGAGAGAGAGGAGGGAAAGAGAGTGTTTTGGAATGGAATGGACCAATTTGGAGGCAGGGAGGGGGTTTTCGAATGGAATGGAATGGACCGGTTTGACTGCTTCTATGAATTGCAGAATTTGACGAAAAAATAGACAACAAGAGACAACCAAACCAAGAGATCCGTCACCGGTTTGATGAGGTAATCAAGCGCAGCCCTCGAGAGCAACGACTCAGCAAAGCATATCGTACGCACAAGAGAAGAAGTAAACAAGCAAATTACTGAGGGCCGAAGGACCCGCGACTGTCTGCAAAAAGAAAAAGAAAAAGAGGACTTTTTTCTCTTCGGGCACGAGACTCTAGGGAGAGGTGCTACGCAGTTTCGATACAATATTTGGAAGGCCCTGGACACCACAAAACCAAAATACTGTCCAGGGGGACTGTAAGGCAAAAAAAGGAAGAGAGAGTAGAAACAGGTATAAACTCTTCACAAGGTGTGCTTAATCTGCAGAACGGATCACGACATGGTCATGCTCGAACGAATGACCCGTCTAGTCGAAGTCCAATTCTCTCTTGCTTATTAGAGTCATATTCTTCTCGAGTCAGCTACAAAAATTGTCAGCTTCCTCGTCGCCCGCAAGGCTTGAACACGATGAAACCTGACTTGCATTCTCGAGTTGCAGTCTTGAATTCTTTTGACTGAGTTTTTGGAAAAACTCAGTCAAATGGGGAAGACCGAGATGACGAGGTCAGCTGCAGGTCAATAATAAGACTGAGAAGTAATAATCAATTGTCATTTACATTCCACAGGAACCCAAAAGGGCTCGAGGGCCAGCTAACCAGCTGAAGGAGCACCAGCTGTACTGTAATGCTGTTCTCGGTGGGACCTTGCATACATTTGAAATGTTTATTTTGTTTCCACGTGCTTTCCTTTCTTACTAGAAGAGGAAAATAAAATACTCTGAACGAAATCTTACTTGGACCTTGTAAATTTTTGACCCTGGAAATCGTTGAACTGAAACTGTGCGAAAAGGAAGGAATTATAGAATATTCTTAAGTGCTTGCGAGACGGACAAATTTGATTGAGTCGTCCTTTGAAACCGACTGCCTCATAAATAATCTTATCTCGCTCGTTGGTGTTCAGGATATATTAAAAATCTCGTGTGTAATCCACGGGTTTCATCCTAGATGCTACCATCAATGCCCCACCTTGCTTATTCTTGATACTGCGACTACATCGATACCTTCTTCAAGCGTTCTAATGTTGGTCAATCAGTATAGCCATCAGAGTTCCCTCCCATAACAATTAACCACCGTGACCAGTTCATGAGAGGATCTAGTCGTTCCACAATCTCTAGCTTATTCCACGAGTCACTTTCCATACAGCGTAAAAGAGAATGCAGCTTTCAATTTTAATGAATTTCGTGACAATATTAAAAACAAATATGCAGACGATTCCAAAGAACCATTTCTGGTAAGCGAGGAAGAGATTAAAAAAAAGAAGGATGTTATTACCCAGATAATGTTTCTTTGAATTCCAACTGGATATTTTTTAATTTTTTTACAGCTGCCTGCCAAATGGACACCTGTATATTTTCTCGAATCAGTCCTTGGACACGAGGACACTCTGACACAACAGAGAGGAAGCTAGCTCCCATCAAGTCGACGATAAACCCAAACGGGTAACGTGGGGCTACTAAGGAGTCAAGACGATTGATTCATGGTCAACACTGTGCATAGAGAAGGTGATGAAAAACCAGAGGCCTTAGTTAATTTTCATACTGCTGCTCTGGGTAAGATGATTTTTGAACTATAGTATTTTTGTACTATAGAGTTTTGAAGGGACCATTCTCGTGAGATTTTCTGTTAGTTAGGATATTCGAAAATTATCACCACTGGATTTGCACAATCATAAGCAAATTGCTCCCTCGTTAAAAACCATGTTCCAAAAAAATCAAATCCTATGTTCTAGCCCTACAAATTTCACTGGTTCTTGATGGGCTCAATGAATATAATCTTCATCCCTACAACACTTTCACCGCTTGTTCTAAACCAATCAAATGACAGAAGTGAAAATATGATTAACGACTAAGTTCCTAACCAGATAAGGACATATCATTGTGGCAATCATTTACGAGAGTCCATTATAATAAGAGTTGAGGCCCACAAAATTGGAACCATATTGGCCTGGATCTTCAAGCAGAACGTTTTTGATTATTTTTGTTGAGCCCAAAGTACTCCAAATTCATATCAAGGTTAATACAGCGCGTCTACTGAATTACCAGGTGATGTTATCTAGTTTATTAAAAGTTATCTCTTCATTCGTGCAAATTTTGGAAGTGGTATAATCCCACTATAAAAATAGTCAGTCTAGGTTCTCTAACTTAGTGAAATATTAAATTTAAGTCTAAAATAGAACAACCATACTAAATGTTTTGAAAGAAATATAATTATTGATAACTGAGATCCTATATTTGAACTATGTTATGTATTTTAATATCTTGTACATTTAATAGTCTTATTTCGACGTGATCTCAAACATAAATCATGTTTATTGTAAATATTGCGTATACGTAGCTCTTGATTCAATCTGTATGCGCTTTTTGTATCTTATTAGTAATTTAAGACAAGTCATAACTAAAGCTTTTCATGACAGATCACGGAATCAGAAACACATTTCAGAATATGCAAAACTGTTTAGAGATGGACAAAGGTTCCATACCTCAACGCCTGCTTCCAGTGAGATCTCCTCCTTCAGATACGATCACTGTGAGGAAGCCTGTTCTGACATGGTAATGCTGTTTCCTGTCCGCACCTTTGCAGCTACTTCTATGTCTTTTGCTGCCAGGACTCAACGTCTGCGCCATTCGTCACAGCCTTCTCGTGCCTAGAGTCCACGAATCAGTTCCCAAGGTGTCTCACTCAAACATGCAGTTTCTGTCAAACTCACATTCTTGATGTTAATTTCGGGCAGAACAGTCTCGGCAAGGCAGTGATGCGTCTTGAATTTATCTGAGCTCTGTAAAGTGTGAACGTCGTGATTGACGACGTTGGCACCGAGCAAGAGTGCACTTGACTAAATTGACTTGAGTGGCAGACCTGAGTCTGAGTCGTTCGGAGTGAGGGCATTCTACCGTCCTTTTACTCACTTGTACCTTTTTTAACTGACTCATTCGATCGCAGAAGCTGACTTCTGGTGATGCAAAACCAATTCCATCTTTGCCTTATTTGGTTAGCCATCTGGAGGATTTCGGTATTTTACTTCGCTCGCCAGAGGGCAATCAATCTTGTAGCTAGGCCACCGAGATTCTTTCGCTACATATTACTCGTTCTGCTGCTGACTTCCAAATAACTAGCACGTACTGGAGATTATTATGATCTTTACTTAGCATCTATGTGTTTTCAATTTTAAAGCCACGCAGAATGCGCGCCAACTTGGGTAAAGTCGGCAAGGAACTCGCACGCAATGCCATATGTCAATACGTCCATCGTCCAGCCAGGAGCTGAAAGTCTTCATTGGGTCGAAGCGGATATCATCTTGGACTCCCTGTTGGACCCTAGTATCACCACTGCCCACCATGCGATCTGAAGTTACTCGTACCATGGGTTGTCCATATGCACAGTCTCGCAGGACGAAGCTCGAATCTCTTACCGCTTTCCTCTGCGGAAAGTTTGTTGATACGGGGGCTTTCTAGTGTTCTCTCTTGGAAATCCTCGATCTAGAGGAGAATAAATCGAGAAAGAGTTTGTGTTTCAGACGGCAACCGCTAACTTGCCAAAGCGTCAGTGTCATCGCATGAGCTGACCATAAGTTCAATCAAGGTGGAAGTGGTTTCATTCACGGGCTGATAATGCTTTCCATTCGAAAGAGTTTGTGTTTCAGACGGCAACCGCTAACTTGCCAAAGCGTCAGTGTCATCGCATGAGCTGTCCATAAGTTCAATCAAGGTGGAAGTGGTTTCATTCACGGGCTGATAATGCTTTCCATTCGAAAGAGTTTGTGTTTCAGACGGCAACCGCTAACTTGCCAAAGCGTCAGTGTCATCGCATGAGCTGTCCATAAGTTCAATCAAGGTGGAAGTGGTTTCATTCACGGGCTGATAATGCTTTCCATTCGAAAGAGTTTGTGTTTCAGACGGCAACCGCTAACTTGCCAAAGCGTCAGTGTCATCGCATGAGCTGTCCATAAGTTCAATCAAGGTGGAAGTGGTTTCATTCACGGGCTGATAATGCTTTCCATTCGAAAGAGTTTGTGTTTCAGATTGTGCTAACATTTGGCTAGAGCTCTTCTATCCTGCCCCTACCTTTCAAACTACGATCTGCTCGCTTGGTATCAGTCTCCTAGAGCAGTATCCAGCCTATCGAGCCTTTCTAACATACTTTGCCCAGTTCAATGTTTCTTTGCAGCAATAGGTGACTAAAAACAGGCATTTGGGACGAGGAAAGTAAGCCAATGTCAGATCTGAAGATTTGATCGTACGGGCCCACGAAGCAAATTTTATAAGTGCTATGTACCAGATAACATTCATATATCAGCTGCATACGCAATATCATTCGCTTCAGATATGTGCACTTGCGTTCTTAATCGTTTCCCTGCCTCAGCTTTGCCTCCAGCTGCTTCGACACAAGGTTTTTTCTATCCTGTCCAGTCGAAACAGGATTCCGGACATGAATGCAAGTGGATCAGGACGCTTGATTCTTCCACCACCAGAGCCTCTCCAGTAAGGACTCAGATGGATATTGTGATAGTCGGATAGCGAAAGGAATTCTAATGTTAAAAGAAGTTCGATACTGTAATCTGTGCAGATTGTACGAATGTGTAAAAATGGCCGACAGCGAACGAAATGCGTATTGATATGAATATCGAGACGCCTCTTTGACGCATGGAAATGTCGAATACCATGCACTTTGTGCTTTGGAAAAGTATGTTCAGTGAGTAAAGATACACTGCGAAGCATACCCACAAATCTACGTTGTGAAGATGTGTCATCATTGTGGGACGACCTGGTTGGAAATGACTGCCATATCGGGTCTGCTTTACGCACCAATAGATCCAGTATTAACGTGGCTTGGAGAACAAATTTATTTTGCGACCGACCACATTTCAACACTATGTGTAGAGGTAGGTTCTCCAATTCATTGTAGCCAGCTGGAAAGTCTCGAAATGAATATCTTACAGTGCATCATAGCATTTGATGGACTATCATAGAATCAGAAATGTCTGATCGATCCCATCCATTGTTCCATCGATAGTGGTGTTCAAGTTAGTGCTGGACTCGCACTACGTGGCGCAGGTGAAGCTGCACTTAGTTGCAGTAAGATGACTCGGATTGAGGCCAGATGTGAATCGGTAAACAATCTTCTTCAAAAGTAGATGGCGGCTGAAGTCGGTAGGGTCCAGCAGTACAGGGCAGGTTGGTGGCCATGTTCGAACAAAGTCAGTCAATCCGCCGAGGACGTCTTCTTGGACATAAGATTTCTATATTGCCTTCTATATCTATGGATATATCAGTAGCATATGCCAGAGCGGCCGCCCACTTGAAAACAAGTTCTTGCTTATACCGAAACACATATTGTATGCATGTGGTCCAAACGCAGGCAAGCAGTAGCAGACAGACAAACGTATTGTGAAGAAAAAAAGAATCAGAGTTGGAATACTAAATGACTCTTGTTATTTATACTTCTTGCTCAGCTTCTTTGCATTCGCAGTGTGGAAATCTCAGGTGCCCAAAGACACATCTAAATCTTGATCAACATGAAAAACATATCGATCAAACTTTGCATTCAGCGACAGTGTTGGATCAACAGGAGTTCCGACTGATGCCTTGGTATTTTCTTCTCCACTACCACCACCACTCATGATTGCAATAGTTTCTCCCAACTTTATGTCAAACAGCTGTCGGCTCACAGTTGCGGCGAAGTATCTCAATACTAGAAAGGCTGGTTGTGTATAGCTTGCTGTAGAAATTCTTGAAATACTAACAGCCGTGGCTGACTTAAGAACGCAACTGAATAGAGGCCGTGATCAAATTTCCTCAATGGACTTCCTTGAGTTAGCTTTCCTGAATTGCAATTACTTACCTCACACAAGATCTCGATTGGCAGTCAGCAGGTTTATCTCACTCATTGTGGAGGTTCCAACCTCTTATCAGTCTCCTATCAGATTCACTTTATGGATGATAATAAAAGCAAAACTTCATCAATTTTTCTGCTGATTATCTATATATCCTAGTAAATCGGAAAGGAGAGCTTCTGCAGAATGAAATTATATATCTTTAATTTAATTATGTGCTCCACTGATGATGGGCATTTCAGGAGGTCCAGATGACTTCTGCAATGCTTTACAGTATGCACATGTAAATTCGGCATCTTCTCAGGCCTCTTCACATGTAAGACGGCATTTGCCTCGAATGGATATATGGGGGCCTTTTCGCCACTCGAGGCAGAATTGAAGTAATCCTCCGGGCTTGCCTATGCACCAAATGGAATGACCCGACACAGTCCGGACCTACGGACTGCACGCGGATGCTCCAGTATAACGTAGGACAGGACGATTAAAAAATATCTAAATACTTTACTGATAAGTTAAAATTATTATGAATTGGAATGTTATTTACATAAAAATTTATATTTATAATTTTAAAAACTCAAATCTATGAAAAATCAAACAATACTTTGTTTAGAAAAATATAAATTAATCAAGTAATTACTTATAAACAAAAATCATGATTTCATCGCATAATGTACTCGGTAATAAGATTTGATTTCCAAAAAATCAGTAAGATAAATGGACAATTTTATTCTGTACTACATGAATTTGAACATTAAATAAATTTGAAATATTATTGTTAACTTTTTTTATCATTTTTTTTCAATTTCTTGGCATTATTTTGAATCGGATCATATTTAATAATATTAAAAAAATCTTATTTTATTCTTCTAAATAATTTTTTTATTTAAAAAATCTCATTTTCTTCCAAAAATAAATAAATGATATGAGATTTTGATAGCTCGAAAATATGTAGCATGTTAGATGATTTTAATATAAGTTCGGGAAATACAAAAAAAAGTTGAAAATACATTAGTTAAACGCAGTCATTAAATGTGAATATCAAATTAATGTAATTCATCACTACAGGCATTATTTATGAAAAATCTTACGCTTTGTTGAGAATATTCTAAAAGTTTTCAAAGACATTTTTTGGTCTCTTTTATATCGTGATAGTTTAACCACCTTCACTAACTAGATTTAAGTTATCATGAATTATCAAATAATCTAAGTTAACTTGTATCAATCTTGTTGTCAATTCATGTCATGAAATCGCATCCTTCATAAACTATAAAACTACTCCACATGAACATCAAGATTGAAATTTAACCTAGACCATTTTGTAAATTAGAGTAAACTACACCATATTCAAAACAAGACATAATAAAAGTATACTCTATCTTACTTCTCTCGCAAAATTCAAAAATAACATTATCTCTCAAAAAACTCTTCAAACAATTTAGTCAATGTATGACTTTAATTTAATTTATTTTAGATGTTGAATAGCTCAATCTTCTTCTTAGAAAGTCCATTTGAAATTTATGAGTGTAATTAACCGTTTATTTGTAACTCAATTTTACATGCATGAATTTTACGGCATGAAAAAATGAATTGCAATAAAAGTAAAAATATGTCTTTTTTAAAGCTTAAGTTCAACATTCATATATTTAACAAAATTGGCTCATCGTAGTGAACATCTTGATTGAATTTCGTCTTCAAAACTGTTGGATTGAATCTCTAGCAAACAACACTCTGTTGTGAAATATAAACCTTGATGAAATTACAATTGATATCCTTCTTTTTGCAATAACTTCTAAATTTATCAAAAAATTACCTTTTGCAATTATTTGAATGTAAATATCTAAACTTGTGTCCATTTTGAATCTTAACTTGATATTTTCAACTTTTGAAAATTATTAAAATCTCAAATTTTGTGTGAGATCAAAAATCCGCATGAATATGAAGTTATCATTTATAGATGATATATGATAAAGATTTTGAAATATATGACCACATGTATGTATATCTCGTCACTATGTAGGTATTCAAATAATTCCTTTGAACTATGAGTTTCAGCACT